GGGTGTTCGGGCTGTGCACTCTGCACCCTCCATGGGCCCATTCACAGAGTGCAATGTGAGGCGTACCCCTGGAGCTGTGCAACGCACACCCTTGTCCTTAGGCTTTCTCCTCCCCATCATCGGGTGGCCCTCTGCCTCTCCCCACCTGTCTCATACAGTCCCTCTGTCCTATTCTTTCCTTTCTCGCTGTAGTACCCCCCCCATCTGCCTCTCTCTCACCCACCCTGGTACTTCAAGGTTTCAGGGAAATAGATATGGAGTGAGGTGATCAATTAGCATCCCCTTCAGTCCTCTCCCCAACCCTCCTGGGAGAAAACTGAGAACCTACTCTGGGGTTCACCTACTGTAGGTGAGGGAAGTGCCCCAAGCAAGAGAGGGTGGCATCAGGACGGAGTCTGGTCATATGTGTGAGAAACCAGTGTGACTGGGTGGGCCATCTTGACCACCAGGCCCATAGGACCCTGATTCCAGAGAGAAAAAAGACCAGCTTGGTTTTCCATTTCTCTCCAATCATGGAAACGTCAGCCAGCCCTGGGCTACTAGGAACCACAGACTTGGGTTCAGCTCTCAGCCTGTTGCATACCAAGCCAGGTGTATGACTTGGGGAAAATCACCTACCCTCACCGGGCCATGGTTTTCTACTCTATAAACAAGACTACTAATGCCTATCATAAAATGCTACAGATAAAAGCCATTTGGTAAATTTGTTGTTATATCTGACGATGACTATAAAATCTGCTGTAGCAGCCCAGGACTGCTGAGTTATTCAGTGAGTTTTCAGCCTGGCAAGCACATGTTGAGAGCTTTGTAGCATTAGCAATTAAGAGCAACAACTGATAACCTTGAATGGCATCTGATGGCATGACCATTATATTTCCTGTTATCTCATCTGCTCCTTATAACAACCCTGTGAGCTAGAAAGAGTTTGCAGAAAAGCCTGCTCCCCATATGCAGAGACACCTCACTTGCCAGCCCTGGGGTAAATGGAAATGAGGAGCCAGCATCAGCAGTAGGATCCTGGGGAACAGAGGTCCCCTGGTCCTTTGGCCCATCACTCCTTAGCCCGGTTGGCCTTGCTAGTTCTCTCTCTGCCTGTGTTCCCACATCCTCAGCCTCTCCAGGCTGGCCTCAGCTTTAGCCCATACCTCCCAAGCACACAGGAGAGGCCTGAGCTCCTACTTACTCTTTTGGGGGGTTGACATCCTCAGGTCGAGTCTCAAAGAATCGAAAGACTTCATCACACTGCGAAATGTGGGGAGGCAGCCGGACAAGTGCCTGTGGAAAGACAGGAATAAAGGGCATTAGGTGTGATGAACCTGGGAATAGAAAAATCAAAACCATGTCAACTTGGGCCACCAGTGATGGGGAAGCTCAAGGACTGTGCCATGGAACACACAGTCAACCAGCCACCTGCCCACTCAACCAGACAACTAATCAATTAATTAACCCACAAGCTAATGAATAAAACAACTTTCCATCCACCCATCCACCCATCTATCCATCCATCTCGGCTAAACAACTAACTAACCAACTAACTAACCAGACAACTAATCAATTAATTAACCCACAAGCTAATGAATAAAACAACTTTCCATCCACCCATCCACCCATCTATCCATCCATCTCGGCTAAACAACTAACTAACCAGCCAACTAATCAACCAACTAACCAACCACCCAATTAATCAAAAAACTAACCAGACAACTAAAAAAAAAACTAATCATTCAATGATCAAGCTATCTATCAACCATCTAGCCAACAATTCAACCAACTAACCATCCAACCAGCCAGTTAGCCAACTAAACAACCACCCAGCCAAGTAAAAATCAATGACCATTGAACCCTACATCTCAGGGCCCTCAGGAACTAGTCATTCTGCAGGAAGCCTGAAGGAATTTTCTCCTGCCCACAGTCTCATCCTACCAGCCTCATCTCCCACTGGCCACACTCCAGCTATACCAGATATTCCACTCCCTAAACACTGACTGCACAATCAATTATTTAA